TACTATGGTCTCGGGAATAAATTTGTACATCGGTCATTATACACATACTTAGTATATTTACCAGAAATAAACTGCTGGGTCAAAGGGAATGTACAATGTAATATATATGCATAGTGTGTCTGTATGATACTAATTTATTACATATAGAATAAATTTCTGTAGCTAAGCAGTCCATTTCTCTTTATCCCTCTCGAAAAGAGCTTAGGAATGGTATTCATATTATCAGTGCCAAGACTTGAATGCCTCTGAAAAACTCACATAAAATAACAGTGTACTCAGACATTGATTTCAAAATGGCTACCACTTAAACTCTGCTAGTATATGCCTATGTAAATCTGGAGCTTTGGAAGACAAATCTGGAGCTATTACACACACAGACACACACATAGGCAGGCAGGCAGGCAGGCAGGCACACAGTCCCCCTCAGAGAAGGTGTATCAATTCATAATCCCATCATTAATTTATGCAAATACATGTATTCCCACACCCTTGACAACAGAGTCTATACATTTTATAAGTAAAAACCAGTATCCTGGATGCAGCTCAGTGGTAGAGCATGTGCTTAGCATACACGAGGTCCTGGGATCAATCTGAAGTACTTCCATTAAAAAACAAAACAAATTTGTTTAAAGCTTAGTTAGGAATAATAAAATCAGAGCCAAGGTAATAAAATCAAGGTCAATGATATACTAGTCAGAAAAGACGGTCCTACAATTTGAACAAGACTCAATTTAAAAATGTCAGATGTGTTTTAAAAATAAAAATAAATCACACACCTGGGTATCTTAAGCTTAAGTATGTTCTCTGTACTTAGCTTGTAGAAATCTTGAACTTTGGGGGAAAGAGAGGGCTCTATAAGGCAGCAGGTCAATAAGCCTGTCAGACAGGTGACCTTGAAGTCCTAGATCAAGCTTATCAAGAAATAAGCTGCGTTTTAGTGGGTTTAGCAACTATAGCTGGGCTAGTTCCCCTATCTATTTTTAGAGGTGAGAAGAACAAACCACTCATCAGATATTTCAGGTTTTCCTCTTCTATCCATCGACATTTTTTACTTGTTTATCAAGAGTAGAAATTCAGTCTATCACCAAAGATAAAAGGCTCAAAATGCAAATGATTGCTTGAGATAGTAAGAAAACTCAGTTAAGATAAAGGATATCAGTTAATCAACAGTACAAATAAATGATAACAGAATCTTTTTCCTGTGAAACTGTAGAAAAGGATCTAAAGATCAGGCCAATTAGGACATTCAACAGTTTAAGTGGAGAGAAGAATGGAAAAGGGAAACAAAAGAAAAGAAGAGCTCACAAATGTATCTAGATAGCCTCATTTTCTTTTATCTAAGCAAAATAAACAATCATACAAAGAGGCAGACCAGTTCTGTTTATTTTTTAAATATGTATATTCCTTAAGAGTTTTATACTGCTCCAAAATAATAAACTGTTTCAAAAGATTATTTTATAATCTAACTTTATTACAGGACAAGGTCTTTGTAATCTGAAGAGGGTAGCAAGACCACCAATTCCTCCCCAACCCCCAAGGCCCGAGTTTTCTCAAAATCATCTGAATGACACAACCATGTACAGGTAGGTTGTTACAAATCTGTGATCCCTGGACTGTGGATGAATTACTTGTTAAGAGCCAGACACATCAACAAGGTGAGAGGTAGAAACTAAAAGGATGGCATCTAGCAAATATGAAGGGAAGAAGGTATTATAGTCAAGCTGTACTATATTAAATGCAGTTAACTAAAAAATAGAGGTTAAGAAACAGAATGGTCCACAAGGCAGATAGCTACATAAATATTTTGATGGTATGAACAGAAACATTTCAAGAGATGTGTGAAACAAACTAGCAGCAATGCTGTATACTGTGCACCTATATTCTTTTAAGTTATTCAAGGAAATAAAATTCAGCTCAATGAGAAGCCGGGTATGAGAAATGGCTCTTTTACTTCTGTTTTGTTCATTGTTTTCAAATACAGAAAACTTGAATCCACTATCTATACCACATATTTATTCACAAGCTATGAAACGGCTGGTCTTGTCTTAAGAAAACAATGAGAAACAACAAAAAGAAAATCTTTGCTACTCATGTGTTCTGTAAATTCTAAACTCTCTAGTGTTCACAGAAGATATAAAGAAGTAGAAATCCATCACATATAAAGATTTGGGTATTTAATAACATATGTCTGTAAGAATCAGAATCGAGACCAGGACTTTGGTAAAGCTTTAATGAAAAAGGAAGGACCCATGTTGGCTGCTGAAGCACTTGCTGAAATTCAAAGCTATACAAAGGTCCAAAGTTAAACCTCTACAGATGCTTGATGGGGAAGGGGGGGATGAGGGGGAGAGAGGCATGGCTAGGGAGCTAAAAGAACGTAACTCTTTACAGAAAAGTCTTAGTGAATTCTAGTGATAAACTAGGTTGGATAGATGGGAGTGGGAGCAAGACTGGACAAATGACTGAATTTATATCAATGGAGAGTCACTGTCTGTTTATGAGCAACCAGTATCAGTTTTAGCAGCACAAAATGAAATGGGAAGGGAAGGCCAGATGCAGGGAGCCTGGGTTATTATCCACTCTATTCCACACACACTATGCCAAGTGCCAGGGATACCGAAATATACATGGCAAGGGCCTGAGTAATCTGAGTAACAGGCACATAAATAATATGCATAGTTCTACTACCCAGGTAGAAGGAACAAGGTTTTCAGTCTTAACTTCCAGGTAAGAATTACTTGCACTTGAAATTCATGTTAGGCTTCTGATCTTTGATAAAGATATACAGAATTAGAGCAAGATTATGGATAAAAATATATTATTTCCTTGGTGTTCATTTTCTTGCGCTTACAAATTTTTACAGGGGAACCATGACATTACTCACCATTACAATATTCATTCTGTATAAGCATATGATCATCTTCTGCCCATGCAGAGAAATATCGAACTACATGAGAATGTTGTCCAAGCACTGCATGAGCATATACTTCTCTCAAAGCGTTCTGCCTAGGAGAAATTTTTGAGATTAACAGATTGGTAAATCATTTTTATTCAAGCCTAAACTGAACTAACTTATCTGAAGGTTCATAAGAGAATCCTGACTTCTGTATCTATCATTATGCTGAAGAACAACTTGCTTCAAGAGAGAGTGAGTTAAGGCTCTGTATCAGATTTTTTCATTAAAGAATGTTAGAAGGAACCTTACTGGCCCTAGGATTCAGGAAAGATGAACTCCACATTAGTATGAATTCAAGGATGCTACTAGAAACAAGAAATTTAAGTTAGACTCCAAAATCAGACTCCTTATATTATTTCATTAAGTCTAATAAGAACTAATGGCACAAAATGAAATGCATCTGATTAAATCATTATTTCTCAAATATTAGAGAATTAATTAAATTCAGTGCTTAACCACCTAAAGCCTTAACATCTGTAACACCATACTGAACAAAAGAGCAAAAGACAAAATCTTTAATACATACTCATCAACAGAGCCAGCCAATGGCTTTTTTGATCGCTTAATGGCATAAATACATCCATCCAGCCTCTTCACACATTTAAACACAGAACCAAATTCTCCAGAGCCAATCTTCTCTAGCTCATGAAATTCTGTTGTATACCGTGACTTCATATTGCTTTCAGTAATCGTAATTCTCTGTAATAAAAAGTGTATCCATGTACATAATACAAAGGTATGAAAATGATTTTTTACTATAGTGAAAGTATTACGTGTGAAACTTAAAAATCATTATATCTTATGTTTTAACATTTGTTTAACATGTATATATGGCAGCTTGTTAAGAAGTAGAAAATCATTTCAAAAACAATAAAAAGCTGTTTACTTTAGCAGGTCTTGTTTCATCTTCAAACTCATAATCACTGGCTTCCATGTCTTCACCACAGGAACTGAAAAATATTATTTTTTCCATCAACATATCTGACAGATGTATCAATTAGAGATTCAAAAGTTTATTTGATAGGTGTACAGTAAAATGAAAATTTAATGAATGAAAAGAGAAAAGAAAGCATTTAATTGTGTAACCACAAAATACAGCTCAGCTGATGAAAATGCTGTTCCTGTTGAGATATGCCAACATCACCACACATATCAAAAGTAAAGCCTTTCTGTGTCAACTGTCTCTGCCTGCCTCATTTTTGACATCAGCAGATTTCCTAGAATCCATCTAGGCTTTTTATTCCTTCCTTTCCCATGCCACTTTTTCCACAGCTGACTACTTCCCACCATTCTCTCCTGAAAATTACTAACAATGGGGAAAAATTTCAGTGTATAAACTTCCATGTCATTCAGTTGAAATTAAATTTTGATGAGTATACCAAATCAATCTTGGGTAGCTGAGGAACCAAACTGTTGAATAATAAATAACTTACTCATTCCAATATGTCCTCTTTCTTCTACGACACTGTCCTGAGGAATGAAGTAACACAGAATCTGGAGTAAAAGGATTAATATTCACTTGAGGAGTCTGTCGCACGTCAAATTCCCTTTTTCCTGATTTTTCTGTATCCATGAATAGAGAACCACCTCGGAGTTTAACAGAGCTGGAATCAATTCCTCGAGCTTTGGAGAGCAAACTCTAGGAGAGGGGGAAAAAAATGTTCATGATCCAAGGGCTATAGAACTGCCTTCTCAACCTAACTTTCAACAAGCTTTTCACGTGGCTGAATGTGTAGGCCAAAGCAACTCACAAGTCTTTGTTATCTTTCAAGCAAAATAAACAATGGTTAACTTAGGAGTCTGAAGCTGTATACTAACCACCTTTTCTGAAAAGGCCAAGGAAAATAGGTCTCTAACCCTAAAAAGACAATGAATGCAGACTAAAATTAAGTTCGTTCTAGAGGCTAAAAGTTAACAAACTCTTTTAATCCATCTAAAAATGGAAAGCAGTCAGGGAGCCCCATAAAAGTTCCCCTCCCCCATCTAAGTAGAGCTTTGAAAGCCACCTCCCTAGGACTCCTCCCCTCACTTCCAGAGGGATTTTGCCTTGGGCAAGTGGGCTAATAAACAGCAAGGCACCAAAGCACACGTCTTCCTGAAGTTTAATGACTCTCGGTACTGAACCTGACTCACTTAAAAAGGTAAATTTTCCACATAAATCTTATAAATGCGATACTTGTCTTAATTTCAGGAAGTGTTCGTTTTAAAATCTGTTACACCTAAAGTTCTGGGGTGGTAATCTGCATACTCACTGGCCTCTCAACAAACAGGTGCCAAATACCTACTTCTTTAAGATACATTATCTACAGCACAAAAGCACGAAGGTCCAGGCAATAATACCAAAGCTTGTTTTTAACAGTTGGATGTTCCTTATCTTAGGCTTAGGAATTTAGGCTGACCAAACTTGGGCACCGCAAACCCAAGGGTGTAAACAAACGCTTACCCAATAAATATTCTGTCCGGAAAGAGGTTTAAACGCTACTCTGAGTTATTTACGAGTCCTTAAGACTGTAAATGCTTGAAGGCCAGCCTTTTCTCCCAAGTCGAAGCGTAGTCTCCCTCGGTATCTCAGACTTTCCCCCCATAAGGCCACCTGATACGAAATGATAAGCGCATGAATTTTTTTTTTTTAACCGAACTCTTGCGTGCGCCGCCCAAATTACAGGACCGATCACTTCGTTTAAAAGGCACCAGATGGCTGCGGCGCTCGGGAGTGTCAGGTGGCCAGGCCAGCACCACTCGAGCATCCTTCCAAACCACGTTATCGGTGCCACACTCCCGCTGCCACGCTCGGGGCGGCCCCGACTCGGCGGGCGTTAAATCGTCAGCCACCTGGACCGCGCCGATCAGCCTCTATGAAAGATGAAGAAGTTCCAGACGAGGCCTATTGTTCAGTTACATAATCTTAACGGACAACTTCTGGGCTGGGCCCCAAAAAGGGGCTGCCAACTTTTTGTTACGGTGCAGGAGAGCGAGAGGGGGTGCGGCCGGACGGTTATGTAACCGAACCCGGGCAGCGCCGCGCTCGACTCCCGGCGCCGCGGCCTTTTTAAAAGGCTGGGCCAGCGCGGGCTCGGGGCGCCCCGGCAGCCGCGTCGTCTCACCTTGGGGGTGTGCGGCGTGTCGAAAAGCCGCAGCTTTCGGAAGGTCTTGTGCGGCGGGGTGCCTGGGTGGTCAGGCAGCGGCGAGCAGGCGCCCTCGCCCGCCCTGCGCGCCCCGCAGCCGCGCGGGGACGCGTCCCCTGGGCCGCCGCAGCGCACGGGCGAGAACGAGCTGCCCAGAAAGTAGGCGGCCGCCGGCGACTTGACTGGCGACGAGGAGCCGAAGCCCTCCTCCTCCCACGAGTCGCCCTCGGCCCCGCCGCCCGCCGCGTCCGCGCCCGGGCAGGCGCCCCGCAGCAGCATGTCTTCCTCCAGCTCCCCGGGGCTACCGGGGGCTTGGCCGGGTGAGCGGCGGCGCTCGGGCCCGGGCTCTGAGGGGCTCCGCGCGGGCGGCAGCGGAGAGTCGGGCTCCTGAAAGGCCGAGTCTTCCCCGGTGCTGTGGCCGCTGCCTTCCTCCTCTTCTTCCTCCTCCTCCTCCTCACAGTCGCTGCAAGGCGAGAAGATCAGCTTCTGCCGCAAGGTGCAGGCCCCGGCGCGGCGGGGCGGCGGCGGCTGCTGCCGGCTCAGGAAGCTCATCTCGCCCCTGGGGCCGGGGCGGAGAACCGGAGAACCTGGGCCCGCGGAGTCCAGCACTCGGCCAGCCCAGGGGGCGGGTCCGCCACGTGCGACTGGGCGCGCCCGCTGGTCGCGGCGGCGGGCCTTCGCGGCGGCGGCGGACTGAGGCTCCGGGACGCTCGGGGCGGCGGGCGGCGGGGGCGGCGGCGGCGCGGACTGTCTGGCAGAGGCGGGGCGGCCCGGGCGCCGAGGCTGGGGTCTCCGCAGGTCCAGCCGCAGGTTCGGGCTCCGCGGCTTCCCGCGACCGTTAACCACGTGAGTGCACAGCCCACCAATCCCCACCCATCTCGGGGTTTGAAAAAAAAGGAGGGCGCGACGTAGCCCGCGGGGGAGGGGCCGGCTACGCGATTTTGGCGCGAACCTGCTAGCTCCTCCCCACCGATCGGCGCCGGGCCAGGCCTGGGCGGGTGCGGCTCCGCGGGCCAATGAACGAGCCAGATGGCTGGGAGCGGGTCCGGCGCTGCCCCGACGGGGTCGGCCTGGGGAGCCGAGGCGGCCCTCTGGGAGGGGCGAAGGCTGCGGGCTCGACTAGGCCGAGCCGAGTGTCACGGCCTCTTCGCCGCCCCTCTGCCTCCCCGGAGTCCGACGCCGGACAGAGGGCGGGGGAGCGCCTGGGGTGTCTGCGGGTCTGGGCTGGCCGGGACCGCCGTGGCCCTCGGGCGCTGCCCCGGAGACACGCCTCCCGTCCGGCGTCCCTTTGGCGCCCGCCCCTGGGGCGCTGTGGGCGTGGCTGTGAGGAGTCACGTTCCCGGGTCGAGGTCTGAGCCGGAAACGGTGACTGCGGCCTCAGGACTCGGCAGAGCTGTGTGAGCGGATGGGTTAGGCCGACACCGAAGTCAGCAAGAAGACGGACTCGCGTGTTCTCCAGGCGAGGTCACCGGCTATGGGGCGACCTCTGAGCCGCAGTTACCCCCTAGAGAGGCTGCTTGGGTCCGGTGTGTCCGCAGCGAAGTGAGCGCCCCAGGCCGTGGTCCCCTTTGCTGTCCGGCTCCCCAACCCCACTCGTCCACAGTAAAGAGGAGCAGCACCGCACTCGGCCCTCAGCACAAAACCAGGTGCCCACTGCGTTAGTATTTGATAGCCAGCACGTGGGCAAGTGTGGCAAAACAGATTGGCCCAGCTCGCTGCACACTTAAAAGCACCTTGAGAAAAAATTTCTCTAGTACTGCGTCGAATTGTGGTTTAATACGTCCCTTATTGTCGCACAAGTTTCTGACAGTTTTTCAGTTGTGAATAACCCCGTGATGAATAGTCTTCCTTCTCGTGTTTCCCCCACACCCCTCTTAGGACAGGATACATTCAAAGAAGTGAGAATTACTGGTTCAAAGGTAAACTGCCAAACTGCCCTGCAGAAAACAAAATTCACGTTCTCGCTAGCAATAGATTAGAGTCCACTCTTCTGAATTCTGGACATCAGTGTGTATTTAATGTTTTTTAATGTAGTTTTGTTCTTTTGATTAATAATCACTGGACAGTTTTCATGTGCTTATGGCCATTTGCATTTATAATTATATATTGCATTTGTCCTTTTTTTTTTTACTGTGGCACTTTGCCATCTATATGTTGTTATGACACGTTTCAAAGGTTGAACTCAAGCTGGATTTTTAATAATATCTTAGTACTTATCACATGGAGAATTCCTTGAGGTCTCATAACTGAAGATGCAGTAAAGGGTAAACAGCTGTCTTCTCCAAATATTTGCTAACTGATGTATAAATGTGTATTTTTTGTGTGTTAATCCAAACTTAATTTCAAGCACTTGGAAGACAAGAACTCTCCCTTTTTGTATGTTTGGAGGAGAGGCATTCTCTGATCCATGATGGCCAAAGCCAAGGAGTGGTTTTTAACACCCTGCCTCCAACACTTCTTCTCTCCTAATAATAAATATAAATTATGTCATATGGATAGTTGACATTTTCTCAATTTCATGTGAAGTATAAAAAAAATAATTTTAGATAACTTCTACTCTTTACTGATCTGTAACATGAATTGTATGGAAAAATAGTGTGATTCCTAGGTAGATGGGAACTTAGTACAGTAAACACCTCTTCCGAACTAGATTTTTGCTCTTGAGTCTCTCCTGTATAGAAATTCTGTATCCCTGTTGCTATCCATGAAAGCACACGCTGCCCCCAACCCCCTTCACTCCTTCACAACATCCTGCATTATTTCCTTAGCAAGTTTATATCTATTTCAAAGTATGTTGATTGTTTGTTTACAACTATTCTCTTTTAGAAAATGAGGTCCTTGAGTATAGGGACCTTTTCTCTTGTTTATTGCAGTATTCTGATGTGGCTTAGGTGCTCAATATCTTCTGAGTGATAAAATAGAGCCCTTACTTAAATATTTAATTGCTTTTTTTCCCCTCTCAATATTATTAATTCAAATGGTATGGAAGTCTCCTACTTAGCCCTGCAACCCCCAGCCTAAGTCCCCTTCCTGGAGGTAAACATTCTTTTTTTGTTTTTTCTCAGCTCTTAACTTTGCTATCTACACCTATCTGCTTCCCTAAACTGAGAAGTCCTTGAAGTTGGCGGGGGCAAAAGGGCCTGGGTTCCAGATGGGAAGGGAAGAGCTCTTGATTCACACCCAAGTCCTCACACAGAATGGGAGAAGTAAATTCCCAACAAATGTACAGAATTACTGGGAGAAAGAAAAATTTTTTTTAAGTTGAAAACAATACTCATCGGGAGAACCATTTGACTTTCTCCACTTCCATGTAAAATAGATACTCCCTGCTCCAGACTTTCCACCACACCAGCACCCAGGCATGGACTATGTAACACTCTGTTTATTTGTCTAGCTTCTCTCCCACTCAGGGCTGAGAGCAAGTTTTATTTGTCTTTAGAGTTCCAGCAATCAACAATGTGCCTTGGCCCCACAGAAGGTGCTTCATAAATGTTTCCAGAATAAATTAAAATGTAGTGTTCTTTAAAACAAAATACCAAAATGAGTAAAAAACACAGGCCCTGCCTCCTCCCTTCCAGCTGAGAACATGGCACAAGGTTATGGTTTAAATACATCAGTGTCCTAACTGAAATTCTAAATGATTTTTCCGATTTTTTAAATTTCATGCTCCTTGGAGTACAGCACTCACTGTACTAGGAGATGGAGTTACGCCCACCTGCCCCAGGGCATATCTAATTCAAATTTCCTGTTCTTTCCCTATCCTGTGTTGTTTCTAACTGTAATGTTGCTAGGCAACTTTTGCAGAATCCACAGGCTTTTGGTAATATAATAACTGAGTAAAAGTCTTGCCTCTAGGTATTGGGAGAACAAACTTAACCTGTTTTTCCCCTTCAGACTGGTGATTTCACAAGTAAAAGCTTTAATTCCACTGTTGTCTGCCCATGCACCTTCCTTAGCAGCAAAATAAGCAAGATTCCTGCCCTGGAGATTTATAATTGGGATTCCTAAATCACCTT